ACCCTACCAGTTGCCAATCGCACTGTTATTGATCCCTCTTATATCCAAAATGCATGGTGAACCAGCTAATTCCGCTAAGATTATCACCCTGTAGGATCAGAAGCTCTGAAAATCTGCTCAGGGAAACTCGACACGGAGGTGTTTAGGCTTATTCCAAACACCGGAACAGGTTGAGGTTACTGCTTTTACAACAGACATCTAAAACTGCAGATCGTTCGCGATTAAAACAGGTCCCGAAAATGGCCTACTAATTTTACTTTACACATTGATGCTTCAGCCTGCCTGAACTATAACGTTTACAAAGGCCCGACCGACTTTTCAGTACCATTGCTGCCATCCGGTGTGTATTTGGGAAGTTGGCTGCCGCTGTTTTTAATGACTGTACTGTCTATATTTTGGATAATAAGCCCAAGCATTTTATTGCATAAGCCGACTTGCTGACAGCCTGCAGAGTTGTTTACTGAAAGCATTTCCTACCTGTTCGTTCATAATGTTCTGGGGAAATTAAGAGGCCCGACATTGCGAACCGAAGTATATACCAGAAAGTGCCTGGAGGGCTCTGATGGACGCACGTATGGGTTAAACCTCGCAATCGCTTCATTCAGCGGCAGAATATCGGCGATACACATACATATTTTTGCTGTCAGTCACATGTTCCTTTTCGAGACACCCATTTGTGTGGCCGACGCCGACGTTAGGTGGCGATCGTATATCGTCCCCATTACCTGGCGCCAGTTGTTCACTCCGTGCACGTGACAGTTTTTTTTTCTCTACGTACCCGACCAATGACCAGTACTCACAGCCCCCCCCCTATTTTCCACTTCCCCCAGTCCAGTGCCCTCTACATGCCGATCTCGCCATGTGGGCGGTATGAAAACGATGAGTTTTAATTATAGGACATTTAGTAACCCCGCCCAACTATGCTGTTTTCATCATCGATGCAATTGTACAGGGCCGATGACGAATTGCCGAAAACAGATGTTTGTCAAACAGACTTTTCAAATTAAAAATGGGACTAATTGCCGAACAATCAGCCTGTTTTATAAATGGTCACTTCTCTCTACGTTGTGCGTCAGAGGTTTTGCCAGGTCAATTAATGCAACTTTGTCTGACAACCTTATCTCTATGTATACTTTTGTTTACCCACTTTGCTTTCTTAGACTATCGTTGTTATAGTGATTAAGTACCTGTCCAGTGTAACGATTACACTGGAGAAAATGGGCACTTTCAGTAATCCCTTTTGTCCAATTGACAGTAGAGACAGAGTAGTTTCTATTTATCTTATCTTGAGTGACGTGCTCAATTACGCTTCAGCGGTTCGATCCATAGTTGTGCATTCCCAAATGTAACATTCAGCCCATGCAAGGCCCCAGTCTTTAAGTGTCTTTTCTGTTTCGCCAAAATCAAAAACACGAGGAAGAAAGTTTTGAGAAAGAAATCACAAAAACCTCCAACATTTCATGCAATATTTTCTCCATTTCTTGAGATAGGAGGTCCCCTATATGGGTTTTATCCTGCATATGTGTTAGGTTTTAGAAAAAGTAGTTGCATGTTTCGACCTGGTCGGCAGCCAGTTAAAAGGTGCTTGGAGTATTTTAACTACCACCAACCCAGAGATTTGAGGCTGCCCCGTGCATGGCCATATCTTTTGTCTTATCAGTTCGTTTTGCCGTAGCATGCATACTTTTTAATATTTTGGTTACCACATTTAAACCAGAGATTTATTGACAAGCCGAAAACTTAATTAGTTGTTCACGGCTTTTACGTCCTCGTCAGGCCAGCCTCACTCCAAAGGTATTCTAGAAAAGTCTATAGTTTAATAATAGGTTTACTTAACAATCCAAAATTGTCGATAGAAGCATTTGACGTATACTGCAGCTCCCCTGGATCGCAGCGGTGATATCCATGTCTCACGAAGTCGTACAAATATGCTACGAAATTATTGACCATAATGACAGTGCAGTACTACCTAAAGAGCTAGATACGTGTTTCGCCGGTATGCTGCCACTGCTTGATACTGCAGCGAGGAGTCCGGCCCATCATTGCATCCCCCAGCATTCCCTGTGTTTTTGAATATTGCGCGGTTATCCCGCAGTGACTGATAGACTTCGGCCTAAATAGATACGTCGAATCTCAGTCTACACCACCGGCAGGCGCTTGAGTATGCTGATCTACCCGAGTTAGAATTTTATTTTCTGAGGAAGTCCAAAAACAAACAAAAAATGCCTTCGGTGTTTACGCCTTCCCTCGGGGGCGTGACTGGTTTTGCGTGGATGTGCACTTCAAGGCAGTCCGGCCTTCATTTTTCTGGACCAATTGCATTCAGCGCCAAGCGAGCTCCGTTGAATTTTACGCTCACCCATGTGCGCACCCTCCCAGGCCCGCAAACTGGCCCTTTCTAACCTTTCTTTCCCATCACCTCCCAGGGCCTGGTTTGAGCGATCTCGACGAGTAGCAATACGTGGAATGCGAGGTTGTAATCCACCAAACACACTCCTACCACAGGGATATTTTTACGTAGCAATTATTTTATTACGGGACGCTAAGCCTATGCAGCAGACGTAGTACCGATTAGCACCAGTGCAGGGGGAGTGCACCCCTCGTCAACGGAGCCTAACAGTTGTTTATCATTGCAATCCACGTTTTTATTTACAAATGGATGCGAAGGTTCACGTTCAGGTGTATGCGCGATTAAAGGAAAAGACCGGTCGAGCACTGGCACGGTTTGTTTAGTATTCTGACGATGAACTCCTGCGCGAGTTCGAAAGTTTACAATGATAAACAACCTGTTCCGTGGCTTACCCAGTCTTCTCGTTTACCCATATTTTAAGTTCAGCGATAATACTTATGTAAACATTCGGGAAGTCAGTTTATGTGAACGGAAGTTTTCGATTACTTCATCACCAGGCAAATATAATAATATAAGGGAGGGCTGAGTTAACAAAATTGTAAGTAACCATTCCGTAGTAATTAGGGGGAGAGGTTTTAAGGGGTCAAAGGGGTCAAATTCTAATTATGATTAGGGACCAGAGAGAGGAAAGGGGGGTCGGACAATTAGTCCATGTCGGCCCGTCGTTCTTGTCTCGTGTTTTGTTGGGAGGCGTGAGGACACAGGGTTTCATCATCTCGTGATGGTATGGGTGGCTTGGGGATGCCTGCTGTCGCTGTCTCGTCGCCGTTTCGCGGCGCGGGGACACCTTTTGTCGCTGTCTTGTATGTCTAGCGGCTTAGAAGGAAGCGTGTGGACGGATGTTGAGTTGGTCTTCGGCCACAGGAGCCCTAGCCCTGTACAAACGCGTTCTGTGCGCATAGAATCGGGTTAGTGACCGTATGGTGACTGCCTCTGCCGTCGCAAGCATACACTAACGCAGGAACTTGGAATGTTTCGCCGAAACTTTCTACATGACTCAAAACGCTTGGCTTACGTCTACCCGATGACCGCTGTCAACCAAGTGGACCAAATTCGGGCTAGATATTGAATTTGCCTCGCCTCTGTTAGGCCAAGCAGGATGGTGTTCTCGCATGCGCTGGGCTGGCCGCCTAGTTGTTCGACCAATATAAACTGCCCCACAGGAGCATGTAAAGACGTAGATGCACATTAAAGAGGTCTGGAACGGGAGCCTATCATTGACTTCAGGGCGAAGAAGTGGGGTGCTTGAAAATACTCATATTTTATTGAATGTGTACTTTGGCAATTAATCCAACTTAACTTTACCCTCATAACGGAAGGGCATCGAAGTTCGTTTAATTAGGGGAACGCAGGTGGCCAGTGATCTGCTGTCGCTCATCACTCTGCTAGTAAAGCCTTGGAAAGCGTGTAACCCATTGTAATATGTACCATATAAAAAAAACACTTTCGAAATTGGAGTGTCTACCAGAGAGCACACGGGAGTGTTAGGGGATCCACCAGTGAACCGCTGTGTCACGCAACGGTAGAATGTCGGCAAAACACGTTTCTGCACTTTTAGAAAGTGTCTCAGCTGCCAGTATGCTGTATTGTGTAACCTCAATACTGTCTGCCTGTTTGCAGTTTAATGAATTTACCACGGTTATCCCACCGTGGCGATTAATTTCTGAGCAACTGATAAAGCACCAACCGCCCCCCCTTTACCCTCTCCAGGTCTGTGGATATCCGATGGACTGGACCGTCGCGAATCTCTTTGTTGCGCCGTCATCCACCACCCCCAAGGTTGAACTGCCTCCTGCCTCCTGGGTCGCGGCTCTCATCCTCTATCACCTTCAAGCGATTCCCTGCAACGCCCACACCTACGCCGAAACCGTACTGCCAAAGTGCCAGCAGGGCGTCAGTCTCACCGCCTCCGTTGTCCGTCCTCTGGCCTCCTGTCTGTATCCCACCCTTTCGCTGGTCAATCACTCCTGCGATCCAAATGTCCTGCGTGTCAG